CTAACGTGGTAAATATCATGAAAACTCGCATCTGTTTTCACGCGTGAAGTAATTTAACGCGTTTTCTTGAAAATTTAGGTTTTTAACGGCCTTTTAAATATTCCAACTCGTTAAATTTAACATCTGTTTTCGCGCGTGAAGTAATTTAACGCCTTTTCTTGAAAATTTAGGTTTTTAACGGCCTTTTAAATATTCCAACTCGTTAAATTTAACATCTGTTTTCACGCGTGAAGTTATTAACGATTTTTTTGAATTGACTTGAGTCAAGTTATAAGTTCTCGCTACTTTATTATCCTTTATAAATTACGAGAGTAAATAATCTAAATGCTTATGAATCGTTTAAGTAAATGATGAAATTTATTTTGACTAAATCAAATTAAAGTGAGACATCATGAACTCTCTTCAAGGTTTGGATAGCGAAAAAATATGAAATCATTAGATTTGTTTCTCCAATACACACATTTCTCAATGATATCACAAGCCGAGACATAATAAAAGTTATCATTTTTTTCTAATTTGCCTTCTTGAATTGATGGCATATCAATTTTTTTGCCGTTGATAAGTATATAAAAATCCTTTGGATTAGAAAGAGGCCATACTTCTACTAAAGTTTCATCATCATCATCTGTAAATATTGAATTAATTAAACCAAAATGAATTTCACCATTAACCTGAAATAAAACTGCTGAATCATCTACCACTTTTGTATTTGAATAATCAACAGTTGTATAGCGAACTCGACCAATTTTATATGACGAGAAAAATCGAAGTTTTTGATTAGAAAATAAATTCGAGATTCTCTCTACAGCACCTGTTGAGTGAATAGTCTTTGCTGTATATGTTGATGAAGCATAATATCCACGACCATATAAAAGTTTTTCAATATAACTTCTGATATCATCATTTATCGTAGAATCCTGCAGATGGAAACATGCACTTCTAAACGTGTTCAAATTTCCAATCATTTCTATTTCTTCTCGGCGAGTTCCCTTTATTGTTCGCATGATCATACCTAAAAATGATCAATATCAAAGTTAATAATTTGATAATTTGAGAAGAAAACGATAGCTTCTGAATCATGAAAACATATTTAAAAAGTTATATATTTTAACGAATTTTTTTGAAGCAATCAATCTTCAGTCACATAATACATGCTGAAATTTGTTGAAATGAAACTATTTTACTTTTAATATATTCTTAAAGTTCGAAAGTTAAAATCCTTTTGTTTAAAGCGTTGATTTCTCGTTGCTTTTTAAATAGACAATAAATAAATAAATATATATATATATAATGTTTGTATAAAAGTAATATCATACCAAGGTTGCTTTCAAAGTGAAATGTGGAGTATGAAGTTAATGGGCCATAATCATTTACAGTTTGTCCAATATGATTCAGAGAATGAACGACTTGTTGATTATGTCGGACCGTGTACAATTTTGGAAATTCAATGAGAAATTCATGTAGAAGACTCTTAATATTGCCAATCATCCCCGCCGTTACACACCGATTCTCTGAAAAATACATAGCAAATACTAATTTCAGAAAATGATTGTAGTATTTGGCATTGAGGGCGTTTTTAAATATCACAAATCCAAAGAGAAGTACCATTCGTAATTCGTTAGCCTTCAGCTTTTTGAACTTAAGAAGTGAACGAGGTCGTCGAGATGTTGTAGATGGAAAACGAAATGATTGTAACATCGATGATAATTCATCATGATAATAATAACATGACCAGTCTTCTTTTTTGTAATTAGATTTTAGCCAAAGATTCAATAGTTTTCTCTAACATTACGAAAGATTATTTAGTATGTACCGACAGAAAAATCGATAAAATGTTCATGACTTAACGAAAAAAGAGTACTACTTCTTCTACCGTGAAAACGCGTTAAAAGTTCATTTTCAACGAAAACTCACGACATTTCTCACACAAAAAATTGTTTTGCACGAAAATAAACGCGCTAAATTTTGTTAGCAAGTGCATTTTAACGCGTGTTCATAATTTGAAATAAAAAAAATACTTTTTCGCAAAATCAGTACATTTCATAGAATTTTACACAACAAAACGTGGTGAAAACCACTACTTTACTTACGAAAACTCCATGATAAACATTATGAAGGTTGTCAGACAAAAAACTAAATCCAACATCAAAATATTTCAGTTGACGAAGAATACAAGGGCCAAGAATTCCATATTCAGATTGCTTATTTTCTGCTATTTTCTGTTTGAGTTGACGTTTAGCAATACGACCAAGTCGACGCGAAGTTATTTTTGCTATGTCTGCATCATTTTTTTCTTTAATCATTACTAGATGATCATGTCGATCATTTGATCTTAAATTGGGTTGAATAGCAGATTTTTTGATCGGAAAACAATTAATGCAATGATCAGAACCAACAGAAGAGCGTACTGTATAACCTAAAGACAACTTTTGAGAGAAAAAAATAACAGTTGATGAATAAATGCTCACCACGAATTTCACACCTGCCACAACCGAACTTCGCAGTTGGTTCAGGTAGATTTTGTACAAGTGCTTGTGCTGGTTTATCCATACATGCGCAGATTAAGAATACTTTAAAAAATCGTGTCACATAACCTGCACTTAAGCGACATCTAAAATGGTATCCTTTTTCCAGCTCTTTGAGCTGTACGATAATTGTCTCCAGAAAAGCTGACATCTCAAAACGCTTCGGTTTCGCTGGGCCTGGCCACACTCCTCCAAGTATTAAATTTTGAAAACAGAATCTTTTCTTTCGTTTAACTTCATTGATCACAAATGTCACTGGCCAAATCGATTTTTCACTGCAATTAAATGGTTGTATTCCATCCGTGCTCATAGTGAGTGTCAATATATCATCAGATTGTTCATGAAGTAATTTTTGATATTGATCCCCATGAATAATATCTCTCATTTGAAAATTTAAAGGTGATGTACGATTTGAGCATTGTGATAAATGTACATCTGTTGTTATAGCTAATATTGAGTTAAGTTGCTCATGTATATTGAAAATATAAAAATAAGTTGGTAGACTGGCTGGAGGTGCAAAACACCAGTCACAGCTAACACTTGAGCAGCTAAATGCATTATCCGATGCCTTTTTACAACTTGGACATACAAACCATATTGTTCGATCAAGCGTCGATCCAAATGATTTATTTAATGCCTTCTTCACATGAAACCAACTACGAGGAGCATCATGAACATTTAAAAGACACAATAATGAACAAAGATCGTTTATGCAGACTGCTGATAAAGAATGACGAGTTTTCAATGAGACCAACGCTGCTGCTAGATCAACTTTTTCAATTGATCGTGTCGATGATGCGTTGCTACTATTGATCCTATAATAGTATTTTAAAATTTTTTATATTCCTATAGTTGATGAATTTGATTTCTTAAGGATCCTCTATAAAACTATTCAAAATCTCGTGGATTTAAAGAAGTAAATACATTAAAATTTTCGCTGTAAAAATGCGTTAAGAATATTTTTAACGAAAGTTAACGACTTTGTTATCGCAAAAATACATCCGTGAAATTTCGTTAAAAATTATTATTAACGCATTTTCACAGTTAAAAATATATAGCGTAAATTTTCCGTTAAATCAATGTATTTTCACTGATTGTCGGATAAAACAAATAATCATGAGAACGAAACTTGATTTCTGGTTCGTTATACTTAGAAAGAAAATAATCGAAGGTAAAGATTTGTTTTTAGAAAAAAAAGTTTGAAGTCACAATACATACGTATGTTGCTCATGTTCTGATGTACAAGATTTAGCTGCAGTCTCAGATATTAAACTTAAAAGCGAGATATTATCAAAATTAATTGGTGCCTCGTCACTAGACGAAGTAACATCATTATCAAATTCATCCGCAAAATTGTTTGGCTCGTTCATAAGAGCTAAATCTTCATTCAGTTGCTCACATTCTTTCACTAAATTAAAGAAAATTCGAGATTGAAAATATTTTAAACTTAAACACACAGAAGCGGCCGTTTGCTTGGGCCAGACGCATCATTCTTTGTCGATGTACAAAATTATTTCTGTTCATCCGCCATCTAACCATCTTATCTGTCATTTTGCATCGAACGCTTAGATTGAAAAATTTTCAATAATTAAATTCAAATACTATATATATAGAAATATCCAAGAGAACTAATATTCTATAACTAACAATAACTAAATTACTTTAACATTTTAGTTCTCTTCATCTTTCATTGCCTTTATTGTTCAATTATATGCACACAAATACAAACATAAATCAAGTAAAACAAAAAAAAAGAACACATAGCAGTCAATAAATAAAAGTACTATCGCATAATAAATACAAAAATACAAAAGAAATTAAATGAAATCAATCAATAGAATTTGCAAATACTGCAAAATGCACTATTAAAAAAACACAACATCAATGATTACTATAACAAATGTTTTCTTTATTTTTATCATTAGTATATTTTCTGTTGCCCGTTGTTGGCAAGTTACTAGTGGTTGATTGTACACTTTGTCTTTGTCTGTCCTTCTTGTTTTGACTCTTTGCGCTGCGAAATACATTGTTAATGCTTTCATTGATTTTCCCTTGAGTCAGTCCTTCCAACCCGTGAATGAGTTGAACATAATCTGAAATTTGAACATGCACTAGAACATAACAGAAATGAAAACACTTACCATGAATAGCATTTCTGAAATTGTCGTCAATCTCTTCAGGTTTAATTTCATTACGAACAGCCGCAGGATAATAAGCACGTACAATAGCTCTAGCTGTTTTTGTACCATTTTCTTTTTGCAATCGGATCAATTGTCGTTCTTCCATATTTAAATCATTACAAATACGAACTAATTTGTCACCCTTGCTTTCATCATCTTCACGATTGCATGAAAAAATTCCCACCATACGTGTAAAATATCGAATAACGCCAGGATCAGTTGGGCGAGCTATTTGAAATGAGAAAAAATAATTCATTAAAATTAAACACCATACATGAAAAGAAAATGTGCCGAGTTTTCTGTAATATTTTAAACAGTAAGAAAATATTTTCAGAAAACCATAGCTGACTACGAGTCCAGAAAAACATGAAATAGAAATTTCAAATTTGATTTAGAAGCAAACAAAAAGAATATTTTCATAGTCTAGTTCAAAAATGAGATAGGTAGAGAAGAATAATACGTACGCATCCATTCGTTCTTGTACATTTCTATTTGTTTTTTTAATCGACTATTTTCGGCTCGCAGTTCATCCAAACTTGAAGATAGAACGCACTTTTTTTTCTGTACCGGATGTTCGTTTTTATCATCATAACTAAGACGCTTATTTGAGTGTGCAGTATTTGTCGTTTCTAAATACTTTCGGAAACAGTAAAACAATCTATAATTTAATAGAAAAACTCTACTACCTTTATCTTGAACAGATTCTGCATTAGAAGATGTTGTATGTGTGTTAGCTGTTGAATTTTTATCTCGAACTTCAGCAACATTCATCAGATCAACTTGTTTTCCATTTGAACAACGATCATTGCCTAGAGAACAGAAATTTCCATAAGTTCAAAATTCATAAAATCATACTAATTTCTTCTTCTTCATCTATGTGTAAACAATCATCGTTTGATTCAGATGAATTTTCATCCTTTGAATTTGATAAGTTTCTATCAGTTGAAAAATCTTCCATCTCATCTTCAGATTCGTCTTCATCGTCGAAAGTAGTTGCTGGAGCTTTCTTTTTCTTTGCTTTCGATGTCAACAGCTTCTGTTGTTGTTCGCATACACTCAATTTTCCTAGAAAAAAAGACCTAGATATCAAATGATAAACATAAAACTCACCAGTGACTACAATAGTTCCGCGAATTATTTTTTCTCTTGTTTTTTGTGATCTTTTAAATCCCACGATAGAACCAACACGTAACTTGGATTTATCAGCAGCCGTTACAATTTGATGCCATTCAGCAACAATAAATATATCTGCTTCGGTACGTAATAAACAAGCGTCGAACTTTTTTTTTTCAACCATAACAATGGATCAGATGTAAGTTAATACGAACTATCTAAAAGAAGCAAATATCGATAATATTGTAAGGGCATAAAATTTATTGTTAAAAAAAACAATAGTAAATGTACTTTGTCGACTGTGTATAATGAATCTTACACAAGCAAGTTTTTTTACTTTGCTCCTTTGTTTAGCAAGTGCGAAATCGATATGCACAACGATAGATGGCAGATGTTGCTTGATTTAAAAAAGGGTGAGTGTCCTATTATTTTATTAGATTTATATCTAGCAGAATTTCATTTTTATTTATTCTATTAATTTAAGAAAAAAAACCTTTCCTTTTATCAACCTAAAAGTGAGCAATAACCAGTGTTACTGGTACGTATAATTCCTAGTCTAGAAAATTTCAAGAGGATCCACTTTAACATGATTACTGCTTTTGATGGATAAAATTTTCACAGAGTACCTTTAAAGCTTTATTTGCTTATGAATTTGAATTTTTTCGGTATAGCGCAACTGTTCTCCGATTACAAATTTCTGGAACGACGTGGCGCCCTCTATTAAATTTTTTTACAAATTATACACAGCATCTTTATTATAATTCAAATTATTTCCAGGTTAGTAAAATGAAAAATATCCACAATTAATATATTAAAATATTATTTTATGAATTTTGTGTGAAAATCAAAATGTTGTGGTTAAGATAAGCTACACTCACACGCTACACACAATAGTGTGTGTAGCTTATCATTTTGATTTAAACCAATCAAATTGCGTTCCACACAATACCCGTCTTTCTTCTGTGATACCAGAATGATGCGACACTTTGTACTTGTACATATACACACACATATCCACTGATCAATAAACGATCAAACCAAACCAATATAGATTTTTTTAGTTTTATAGTAACTAGAATATTTCTTAGTAGACCTATTATATTTTCTCGTACACTATAAAATATCACATCGCTTCTTTGAGATAATTTGAACTATAATTTTATGAATCCAAAACATGATTTAGGTTTAAATACTTTTGCAAATGATCGTGATCTTCTAAATTAAGAATTTAATTCAGTGAAAAACTGAGCCTCAATAAACAGAATGTTTACTGTTTTAACATTGAAACAAAGCATTCACAAGTATAATCAAAAAGAAAATAAATTTGAATAATTCAAACACAAGTTTTAACAATACTGAAATCTTCAATAGTTAAATTTCATAAAAAAACACATAATTTAAAAGACGTCTTCTAACTTTAAGAATGAAATGCATGAGTAATTTGTAGAGTCAAAAGATTTCTTATAAGCGTTACAAAAAGACTAGTAATGATTTTCAATAATATCAGTACTCTTTCAAGATTTATTGATGAGAAAAGCATCGTAAGATGAAAATAAAAACTCAAATTATATCACGTATACGTATAAATATGTGCAAATAATATGTTCGGNATAACACCAATTTCATATTATGAAGAACAATGTTCTTTCGATCACAAGTCAAATGGCACAAAAAGAAACAACAGTTATTGCTTTAGCTTCATTTGAGCTTAAAATATAATTTTTCTGTAGATAAGAAACAAAATAAAATTATCATAATCATTTACGATTTCGCATGAAACTTGATGATGTTATGTTTCGTTAAGAACAGCTACAATATGTTGCATTTCAATGTCGTTCTGCTGAAATGTATACATGCACATGTTTATATATATATATATATATTCTAGGCGATAGAAAGAACAAGTTGATTCTTAGTGACAAGAAAAATAAGATATGATTATCCTCTTTAGAATTCAATTAAAATAAATTCAATTAATAAAATAATTTAATCAAAATCTTCGAATTGAACTGACAAGTCATGATTCACAATCCATATGTGCCTATCAGGCAATATCTATATTACTTATCGATGAGTATAATGGAATATCAGTAGTGAAACTTGATAAAGTTTCAATTTATTGTACAAATCCTTATCAAACAGTAACCACGTCATCTGTTGATAAAATTAATGAAGCTTTTCACACAGCCCAAAAGACAATAATATTTTTAAAGAAGGTAAAAGAAAATAAATGATAAATTCATTTTTTCTTCAACATTTTCCCTTTTATTTATTTAAAAAATGTTAAAATACTATGTCTACGAAGGATGACTATCTATTTGGAATGAATATAATTTTTCTTGTTTAGATAATCACACCTAAACCTTCTACAAAATTTGTTTTACAAGCACCTGAACCTTCTACAACATTAGTTTTACAAGCACCTGTACGTGTTCGTCTTATCAATAAATCAAGTGGTGTAAGTATATATCAATCATTTTCTTACATGTAGGAATTCTTTTATTTAGGTTTTGGTAATTGGATCAATCAAATCGTTGACAATTGCTAAACAAACTTCGATAAAGCCATCACTGAATCCTGTCATATAAAAACCGTTACAATATTGTTTTTGAATACTTAGACTTATTTTTTATTAGATCTGACTCATCTTGTGATTTTTTTTATACCGTTTTTTGTTTTTTGCACAACATATTATTTTTGACAAACTGTTGACTGTATATTTCTAATAATTTTGTATAATAAAATTTATGCTGCTTTCTTTTTCTAAAAATTCTATTTAAATTCTTGCAACAAGGTGAAAAAATATTGAATACATTTGATTTTGTAAAAGAATCTAGAAATTCGATTTCGATTATCTTAAACGATTTTTTATATGCATAACATATAGATGTTATCCATCAGCGCCATCTAATGTGGAATCCAGAGCTTAGAGGAATCGTGCAATATATCGCAATGGCGATTTTGTGTGTGTATATCGAAGTGTGTGTAGCTTATCTCAACCAACTAATCTATCCATATATCTTTATGGATCACTCACAAATGACCAATCAAGAGAACAAAGAAGAGAGAAGTAGTGAATAGCAGATAGCGCCACTACCTAGCAGATTGGATGCTTAATTTGTTTTGTTCTTGCTGCCGTCGCTGACCTCAATTAATATTTTTGTCCGTCAATTTTTCACTCTTTTATTCTGTTCTTTCCATTGATGGTCTAAATTATTTCCCTTCCTTCGTCTGAAAAAGACGTGCTTTTGTACACTGTCTCGTCTAGTTCAATCGCTCTAACATTTTCTCAATGGCTGTCGAAGAAAATAAAGTAATTGCCCTTTTGATATCAATGCTTGTGAAATATTCGCTCATTTCTATTTTTCTTTTCAGTTCGAGAAAACTTTTGATGTTATTGCTTCATCGTTTGGTACTTTGAACAAGTTGGCTTCTGCTTGGAGCAACACCAACATGACTAGTGTTGAATTTATGGGTAAATTCAAATCCGAGCTTGAATCACTTGAAAAACAAGTGATTGAAATCGTCAAACCCGTCATTGAAACAAGCACAAGTCCTACATCCTTTTCAAATTTATGAACAGACCGAATGTGATAGTCATCTATAGTCTATATGATCTTTAATTGTCATGTATTTTGCAATACTTATGATCATTTTTTGTTCTCAGTTCATATGATATAAAAGTATTTGCAATTGTGAATAAAGTGATCAATATCAGTAAGATATTATGAGTTACATCAATAAACTTCTCGCTGAAAATCAGGCTTTTCGACAATGTCTTCTTTTCTATCTAGGACTAAGGATTCTTTTGTGAATATAACTTTTAATAGTTGAAAATATTATGTCAAGGAACTGTATGCTAGTTTTGTGTAGAGTCAATATCTATTATTGAAACTATATTTAATGACCTATGTCTTGCACGAGAGAATTGAAATCTGTTATCTACACTTGGTAATAATGCATTGACTATAACAGGTTTGCTTCATATGAGGGATAGTTTCTTTTCTGAATACAATGAGAATTCGTTTAGGTTCGAGTGCGACTGTTTGGATAGTGCCTGTTGTCGATGCTATTGAGACTGTAGTTGCAGAATAGGAAAGCACCCACAACTACAGCGAGAACCAGACACATAATCCCTTCGATTCCTTTAAAAACACAAGTTTACTCTCAAATTGAGAATTCTTCGATGTAATAAGTAAACTATTTATCCCTTGTCTAACTTTATTGCTCTGGAAAATAGCTAAGTGAATTTCATATAATCCATGAATCACTATTTTTAGTGAAGAGCATTTGTATTTAGTATAGTTTCGTCATTTTTTGTCTTTCTACTCAAATCGAATCTCATACAAGCTATCTTCCATTTTTCTCTTTGATCGAAAAATAAATTCCAGAAAAGGGCATTAGGCAAACTAGTTATAATGATGACTCACTGTCATTCTTCATAACCACATATGGTTACATTTTATTTGTATAAAAAGAGAAGGCAAACGGTGAATGTTTCTGCACAAAAATGGGCGAAGACGAACAAATAATAGATCCATTTTCGGCACTCGATGATCTATCTGATGTTACTCTGATCGTTGAAGACAAAAAAATCTTTGCACACAAATCCATTCTTGTTAAAAACAAATCTTACTTCAGCCATTTATTAAATAGGAGAAAACAATCTTTTTTAGCGAAAATTTCTCCCGTATTTAGTCGAATGCTATATTCACATGGATTTCGTGAATCTCAAACAAATGAAATTATTTTTCCTGGTAAACAATATTTACATATAATTGAATTATTTAAATATGTAGAAAATTTTTATTGGATATTTCATTTTCCAAAAATCTGTTTAACGGAAATGCGTTGTTTTCTTTGATTTTTTAATAATTTAAATTAATAAATAGTTTAGCAAACGATAGTAAATATGTAATGGGATTCAAAGAAAGAATGCTTTTGATAATTCGCCTTCAATTAAAGAACACAGGAGAAAATAGGGATAAACTTCAACTTGACTTGAATTTTGACTTGTGACTTGACTTAAAATGGGTCCGACTTGACTTGACTTGACTTGTGTCAAAAAATCACTGACTTGCCCATCTCTGGTATTAAACTAAATAAATTATTTATATTTTATTTATCTTGTAGAAAAAGCTTCCCAAGTTGAAATATTTCTCATTAACTGTGCCTAGTTTCACATGTTATTATGATATTCAAATTGTTCTATTACTTTGTCGAATGATAAATCTTGAAGAATTGAAATTATATCTCTCAGTAACAAGATTTAATTCGACCTATGTTGATGGTATTCAATTATATGAGCAATTTCTTATTTACATGACACAATTAAGGAAAATTTACATTTTGTATCAACACCGAAGTCTTCAACGAGAAAGTTCGCGTTGAACTTTCATCGAATGAAGATATTCAACGTAGTTTCATTGGAAGAGGATATCAACAAGTTACTTCATATGTTGATACTAATTCAATGAAGACTGAAGGCTACTGCTTTCTCTATTCAGTTCCATATGATTTCGAAGACTTTGTTCAGCACAACAATTCTTATCAAGGTGGCATGTTTCAGAAAGTTCGACAATTGACGATGTATAATAAAATTCCTTTTGAATTATTTAAACTAATTTCTGAAGATTTTCCTTTTCTTCAATTCCTATATATATCTAATGGTCATCCACAACAAGACAAGTCACATTCATCAACATTAATCACATTTCCTTATCTTACATTTCTCAATCTAAAATATGCGCATGTTGACTATGCTGAACTATTTCTCTTGAAAAACAATGTTCATCTACCTCGTTTGTTAGATCTTCGTATCGAATACCAATGATGTAACGTATTTCAATTTCGATAGATTGAGAAGTCTTGATGTATGTGAACCATTTGTTTGTCCGGAAAATTTTCATCGATATTTTCCGTTGTTATAAGTTGCGTTAATAAACGAAAATAATTTTAAAAAATTAAATATTCTTTTATTTAAACTCTGCTGTACCAAAGAGCAGAGAGCATAAATACATTAATAATCTTTAATTCTCTTCGATACATAGAAAATTATTGACTTTGTTTCATATTAAGATACTTTATTGATGTGTAAAAAAACTTTGGTGTGAGTTTCTACGAGCAAACTCTTTCTGCTTTTCTCTAGAATCTTTACACATAATAGGAATTGAAAGAAAATATTTTGTCATTATAGTCGTATGACAAAAAAGGCGATGTTATTCAAAACTATTCGAGGAAATTCAATAGATATTCGACTAATTAAATACTGATAGATTTCATTGTCAATAGTTAATAAATTTTGAAAATAATCATATGATGTACAAAGATGCAACTTTCCATTGGTTGATGACGATTTTTATACACTTGAAAAAATAAGTTATTTATCGCCAGTGGAAATATTCTCGAATAGACTATTGAGTGTTATCGCTAACATACAGAATTCTAAAATGCTATCTCAAAAGGTATTCAGCGGTGAACTTCTACTTTTTTGAAAATACAGAACTCATGTAAGAAAGCTTTTCTGCGCAGCTCCACTAAGACCAAAATGTGTAACTGACGTATTATGAATCACCTAGATACTGAACAAACAGTGTTTTATTTGTTTTTCAATACAATGAGTTTCATAATTTGTTTAGGAATACGACGGAAAAAAATTAAATCACCTGAATAAGTAAATACGTAGAATTTATTTCAATTAAATTAAATTTTTATAATTAAAAAACAACCTACAGACAAGTTAGGGTTCGATAAAATTCTTATGAGGCTGTCGGTATACAATAATATTGATAAGAAATATTTCATATTTCTATTTTTGATCTCGAAGTAAAATAAATACGAAATGAATTTGATGTTTAAACATCTTTTTACTATTAATAAAAAAACATGTTACTTCCGTAATTTTTTTCTCCCTCGTGTTTACTACAGGAGAATTAAAAACAAACTTTTTTACAAAAAAGTATTCTTATTCTTGTTTTTATTTTATTCCAATTAATATCTGTGTTATAATTATTGAATTATATTGTTATTTGTATATACAAACATAGGAAATCATCTTTTACAGCAATGTTTAATATATCTAATACGTGTCAACATACCATATAGTGGTTGCTATTGTGTATAAGAGTAACATACACTCGTTGCTAGCATCTCTAATAGTAAAAAGATACGATACTGTCGTTGCTATGGTCTTTAATAGTAAAAGTACAGCTTTTGAAACAAAATTATTCAACTAAACGCTAATTATAATGATATCCAATTAATGAAAATACATTTTAATTACTGATATGACTAGTGGTGAACACAAGCTATCGAACCGTATTGAAATTTTATCTTTTTAACGTTTTATGTCTGTAACGGACGGGTAGGAAGCAGCAAAAATCTTGGTTTTAAAACTTACACTCACTATTTTCTTCGAAAATATGTGAGTTCCAGAAAACTATTCAGTGAGCAAATGAAGATTGATATTTAATGCGGTGCGAAGCACAGCATTCATGTGGCGCGTCGCGAGTTTTTTTTTTCTTTCAAACTTGAGTACGCATAAAAAGTTCTAATTAAGTGACGCGATGGTCTAGATAACCGTAAATGATAAAAAATCCATTCAAACTAGATATAATAGTATGGAGATCGAACTTGAGCAATCTTTTTTCCAATTTTCAATACTAAGTTTTGTTCGCCTAAAAATATCATTCGACAATGATGATTTTGAAAGGTTTTATTGTTTGATAGTTTCGAGATAATTAAAATGACGTCATCAAGTAATCTTAGCCAATAGTCTATTTATTCACATCTGATCTAAAATAGTGAATCATGAAGATAATTAAATTTTCAATTGAAATCGTTCTCGATAATTATGTTGATAAGGGAGAATAGAGTTTTCTCAGTTACGAATTTTGAAATGGTGGATACTTTTATCTTATTCTCAACATCTTCGTAAATTCGTAACGCGTGTTTCACAGAACATTCATATTTCAGTGAAACTTGAATACCATATAATTAAAATGACCTCATCAATAATTTTTAGACAATAGTCTATTGTTTTACATCCAAATCAACGTAATGACTAATGAAAATAGATAATCGTTCAATGAAAATAATCGTTAGAAAACTGATTGTTACATTTTTAGAGATCTCCAAGTCATGAATTTCAAAATGACCAATTTAAGAATAGTGAATGCGAAATTTTTATTCAAAATTCGAAAACGAAAATTTAAAAAAAAAAGATTGTAATGAATTTAAAAGTGGATTATTTATTTTTTAAATCTTATTCTCGCTACTTTCGAAAATTCGGCTCGTGTGCTTCGCACCGCATTTCGTAGTCGAGTGAAACTCGAATACCATCTAGTTTATTTAGCACATTGTTTAAGTTGAATAAAATTTCGACTTAGAGTCGAATTAAATATTTTGGATCTGTCATATTCGATCTCTGATGACGGCAATGTTTGTATGAATTCAATTTTTTCTTGTTATCTTTAAAGCGTTTTCAAATATTTCACGTCAATAATGTCATTCAAATGAGTAAGCGGGTTTTTTTCCAACTGCAAAATATTACTTTTGCTCGTTCTCTTCTATTTGCAGACGAATCGATCGATGTATTTTTATTCGCTGCCTTTCAATTGTAAATGTCACATTCAATCACATGGCACCTTAACTATTACGAATTCAAAATTTATTGAATAACAAATGTTTCTCATTGTAGAACTATGACTAACAGAGATCGAATGACGAAAAGAATTGCAGATCGAGTAATTCTATGTTGGCTTGATTTAGAAGCTCGGAACATAGAAGACAATATTCATCGAAAGATTGAACAACTTCGGATAAATGTTTACGCTGCGCATTCATTTGATGAATGGAACGCCTGTATTGATTTTATAACATCAGTCGATGAACAAGATATTATTTATCTCGTCGTTCAACCTGAACATCTAAACGATGAATCTCTATCGTTATTTGATTCAATTCCTCAACTGAAATCAATTTTTCTATTATGTAACAACCAGAGGTGTCCACAGGGCAGGGCACAGGGCGAATATTTTTAAAATTGATCAGCCCTGCACAGGACAGGGCGGAAATAGGCAAACACCAGGGCAGGGCAGGGCGATAGCTGCGTGCCCTGCAAATTTCGCATTTTTACTTTAGTTTGGAAATAAGAGCGATTTCATTTTTCTCGAAAAGTTAAAACAACCCATGAGAAATTTAGATAGCAATATCACATTTAAATAAGATATTTTATAAGATAGTCTTTAAGTTGCACGATACTATATAAGTATAAGTCCAATCAAAATAGCAACAAAGGAAAGAACATTAGTTTAGTAGCCCTCATTGAAATAATATTGTACCGGTGCCATCACCTTCTAATTGTTCACACGATAATTTTCTTATGATCTCTTCTATTGGTGAAAATGAGGTATTCATTTTATCTGAGTCAAATATCTCTGTTATTTGTAAAGCTTCATCATATAACTATAGCTATTCATTTAAAACCCTTTTTAAAAAGAGAAAGACATAACTTTTGTATTTAAAAAATTGAATCAACATAAACTTCAGCCTTGTAAAGGAGATCATTTGCTCACTCAGCTTTTCTAAATAAAAAAAATATTAATTTGAACGAATCCCATATCATATCAGCTGCTTCAAATGTTATCATAAATTAGCTTATAGAGTCACGAGTGAAACTAATGGTTTTCTTTCATACGCAGATTAATGATTTCTTCTAGTGTCAGCATGTTCTTCTGTTGTTGGCATAGAGGATTCTCGGTTGATTCAAATAAAAAGTGTAAAATCTGAGCAGGTGGATGAAGTTCTGTTCATTAGATTAATTGAAAACTAATTAAAAGGAAATATCTACAAGTTCTTTTTCATTTTCTTTTATACTATTGTTTGTAAATCAAAATCTTTTTTGTGAGCTACTTATCAATAAAAGTCAGTAATGCAGCTTAAATATTAACTTGAAAATTATTCTTTTTTTTTGCAGGGCAGGGCAGGGCACGATGCAAAAAATGACAGGGCAGGGCAGGGCAAAAAAATTTGAAATCATTTTGGTCCTGCCAGGGCAGGGCGAAGTACGATAGAAAATCAGGGCAGGGCAGGGCAACAAAATTGGCCCTGTGGACACCTCTGGTAACAACAATAGAAATTACGATCGCGAACGACTAAAATCTTCCAGAAAAATAATTCTAATTCAGGATAATAATAATCTGATTTTTAATCAAATCGAACAAAATATTCGACAAAACGCAAATCAAGCAATTGGTTTGCAAGTATTTCGTGCACAAAATGACAAAATTACCGATGCATCCTTATTGAATCAACTCGATACATCATTTATGTATTCGCAATTGATTAAAGAAATGCTTATTGACGCTGAAGTCGAATACGCTGAAGACAACATAAATGATTTCGTTGATATTTGTCTTGCTGAAAATCAAGATAATCAAATGCAATCAGAAAATCTTAGATCTTTTCGAAATACCTACAAACAGCATTCATCAGTTTGGTGGTATACGAAAGAATCGTTTCTCTATTCCGCAGTGAACAAAGCTTTACGAACGCAAGACATGACTATGTTAATCGCAATGGGTTTTTTCATTCGTGATCTTCATTTACAATTAATTGAATTACAAGAGACCGATATAGAAAATCAATCGCTTTCAATGCTTTATCGTGGTCAAGGTATGACCATGAAAGATTTCGAACGTCTTCATCAACAAATCGATGGCCTCATTTCGTTTAATAATTTCCTTTCGACTAGTTCGGATTATGATGTATCACTCATGTTTGCTCGTATAGTGCTCGAGACAATCCATTACATGTTGGCATTTTCTTTTGTATTCGACCAAATGCAGCCATAACGACACATGATAAAAAATCTCTATCTCCATTTGCTTCATTGAGAAATGTTAGCTGTTATCCGAATGAAAATGAAATTCTTTTTTCTATGCATACAATTTTTCGAATTAAAAATGTTCATGAGATCGATGAACGTTTGTGGCAAATCGATTTAGATTTCACCAATGATCAAGATCAACAACTCAATATTCTTCTTGAACAATTACGTTCCGAGATCTATGTGCCAGGTGTATTCAACGTAGATAAAGTTGGAAAACTTTGCTTGAAGATGGGCGATTATGATGGAGCATTAGAAGTTTACAATACATTACTACCGATGTTTCCTGAAAATTTAGTTTTTCTCTGTTATGTTCATAATCATCTTGGTTTAACTTATCAACATCTGGATCAAATCGATCAAGCACTCATGCATTATGAAAAATCCATTGAAATTCGACGTTCATGGGGAGATGAGGAGAATAATGATCGATATTCATTGGTGACTTATGCAAATCTCAGTACTCTTTATGCAGAGAAAGGTGATCTAGTTAGAGCTCGGCTAAACTGTGAGCATGCACTTGCTTTAGCTTAGAGATGTGCAGGGTAAGCTTTTCTCTTACCCTGTACCCTGACAAAGGATTTTTTTTGTACCCTTATCCTACCCTACCCTGTAAGCCCTCTACCCTGACCCTACCCTACCCTGTAAAATTTTATATTTCATTACCCTTACCCTACCCTACCCTGCCAGAAGCTTACCCTGACCCTACCCTACCCTGTAAAATTTCAAGAATTCTTTACCCTTACCCTACCCTACCCTGAATTTTTTTTAGAGTTGTTTACCCTACTCCACACTGTAACTTTTACCGTATAATACCTCTATGGCTCGTTAATCTTATCCTATTTCACTCGGTAGAACCTACCAACCATCCCTGTACCATAGCTAGTTATTAGTTTACACTCTGTTGATGCTATTCCAGTACAATGATTGGAAATAGAATGAGAAATACAAAAGTACCATAAATTATTCTTTTATTTCATTATAATTGACCAGCTTTTATGTTCGCCAAAATTACTCGTTTTTCTCTTCGGATATGAGTTTTGATAATTTTTTGGATATATTTACAAATAAAAATCTTTTTATCAAAGTATGAATATTTAAAGAAAGCAAAACAATAAATTAAATAACAAAAGAAAGACAATCGACTGTTTTCACCGACGGTCGAACTTATATCGCTACTATATTAAGTACAATATGTCAATGTGTCTTTGTCATTGTATTACGGTTGGTTTATTCATTCTGCGACATGAATAATGGTTGGAAGATCTCACTCGAAGTTAGTCACTTTCTTAACGGCTGAGCTAAAAGTACCTGTACTTTAATTTTGATGATTTCTCTCTCTTTTTCTGACTCAACTTTAATTTATTGAATTTTTATTTCCATCATAGTGTACTCCACTCCACTAAACGCATACCCTGACCCTACCCTACCCTGCTGAGTGTTACCCTGACCCTACCCTACCCTGCAGGGTAGGGTAGGGTAGGGTAGGGTAGGGTAGGGTAGGGTAACCCTGCACATCTCTACTTTAGCTAAACAAACCAAACATACTGAAAGCGAAAATCCGATCGTATATAGTAATCACTTGTCGATTTTGGCATTCATTCTACATGCTGAAGGTAAACTCGAAGAGTCGATCGAGACTTATCGAAAAGTCATCGCATTACGACTCGAATATTTACCCTCGAATCATCCAGAATTATCTTGTGAATACAGTAATTTAGCTGTAGTTTATAGTGAAAACAAAGATTATTCATCAGCTATTGAATGTTTTCATCGTGCTCTCGACATTGCCGAGAAGTCACTGCCAGACAATCATGAACGGCTAGCTACAATACACTTCAATATTAATGTAGCGAATGAAGATTTGGCGAACTATGAAGAAGCGCTGAAACACATTACTAAAGCAGTGGACAAAGCACGATTATCACCAACATTCGATCAAGAAAATCTCAACCGATGGATTCAATCTATGCAGCAAATCGAAGAAAAAATAGACGCACATTAAAAATGCTTGTTCCATGTTTGTTTTTCTTTCTGTCTACAACGAAAATAAATCCTTTTATTTGGTACAGTTATCCTACTGTACGCTCTGAAGTTAAACGTTATTTGAATTTCTGTAGTATTGTTCATGAACATTGATCCAACAGCTGGTGATCATTTTTTTTTGAAACAGTCATTAGTGCTTTTGCTAGTTATTTTCTCTTCTAATTGAAATTAATCCATTTAAAATCGTGCAAACTGCTTTGTCAAATTGTTATCATGATGATATAAGCATATAGAAAAATAAATAGACATTAATCATGTAAGAAATTCATAAATTAAACAAGGAAAAAAAAGCAATGTAGCAATATATTACAGTAAATGTTTTATCATGGTTAACAAACACTACTACTTGACATTTTTCTTTTGAACTCACATTGATATTAGCATTTTCTGATTTAGATGATAACATACTCGACATGATCGAAGCAACCATATCTTTGAATGCTAGTTCGACATTATTCGAGTCTTTTGCCGATGTTTCAATATACGGAATGATTAATGAATCAGTGAATTTCTAATAAAAATAAAACAAAGTAGTTTATTGTGTATGCCGATTGTTTTGATACCTACTTTTACTTTTGCATAGTCAACAACTCTCTTAGCTGCCAAATCATATTTATTACCAACTCATAACTTCTTGACATATTCATTTCCCTTGCGTTCAATTTCTGTTTGCCATGTTTTGATATTGTCGAACGATTCCTTTAAACAATGATACTTGAGTGTGAAGAGACAAAAATAAACATAATTAAAGTTACATACAAGATCTGTAAGATAAAGAAAAAAGATGATGATACCCTGTGCACCACGATAATAAGTAGCGGAAAATAGAATAAATCAATACAATCTAATCAATCTTGTTCATATTAGTTCGATCGAACTGATTTTGACATTTGATAAAACGATCATGTTCATTCGATTGCTCTTGAGGGTGTAGGTGTGGATAAATGACAAAGAATCCACACACCGCTGATATATTGTGTCAAGGTCATAGTTATGAAACACCGATTGACACATTGTTACTACTTCCATGTTAAAACTTAACACTAAGCATAATTGATCAAGAATATTGATTTGTCTATGAAAGTTTTCCCGTACTATTTCTAATATACTCTAAAATCTTTTCCTTCACTTTTCTATTCATGCTTCGAGTTTGTCAGTGTCACATTAATTTTTTTTTCGCAATTTTCATAGACTCACACGAGTAATATGTTTGATGCCGCATTTTGGAAGAAGTGTTTTCACACGCCATTTAAACAGGCAACCAACAGTTAATAACACTAGACTGATTTTTTTGTTTTACACTTTGAAAATTTTGTATAAACCTGTAGGAATGATTTCGACCCCCTGATAGCACTAACATTCCTCTTTATGTATATTTTTAACAGAAGGACACATGAAATCAGTTTTTTTGATCTTATTCAAGATTTATTGTTCACTCGTGTGATACTACTTAGAATATTTTGGTAGAATTGTTAACTCTTGAACACAAAGAAAGTGTGTTCGACTAGTCTTGAAGCAGTGTGATCACTAGAACTATTTTTAATCTATCACGATCACGAAGACGACGATTTCTATTATCAGAGGTAGTACTAGAACAGATGATAGATCCGTAAAATTTTATACTTAGGTTCACTATTATATACGATCGGTTGTGTTTATATTTTACACTATCTTATATTCACGTTGTATATGATCGGTGTCGCCATACTAAATATCAAAAAAGTTTTATTTAATTAAGTATTTATTTTGGGCTATCATTTTAGTGGTCAGTAGAATAAATGAAATGGTCAGTAAGCAAAATAATTATAAAATCAGTAAAATAAATGAATGACCAGTAAAATAAATGAATGGACAATAAATTGAATGAATG